ATTTGGTTATTTATTCTCTGAAGAAGTGACTTACACTAAGTCACGAAACGTCAGAAAATCCTATTTTCTACTCATTGGGATATTACAAATATATTATTTTTATTTATAACAATGAACCCAATGCTCAATTTATTCGAAATTATCAAATCAAACCTTGGTAATGACACCTACGTATAAACGATTAGTACTACTGAACAAAGCGAGTAGTGATAATAATTAAGTAGGGCTAAATAAACTATTCTACTAAATTATGACACGGGATATTCAACTACGAACCATCATGTACATATGAATGTAATGACACTAAATGGATTGTCTAGCTCAAACTGATTATAATGAGATTTATATGTACAAACTACTTATTGTCTATTAAATTGCTAAATATCTCTGTGAAATTATTAGTATTATACATGAACTACCCACCCCCAAACGCCCTGGTACGGCCGAGGGTGGGGAGAGTCCGCTTTCCCTCTCCAGATGTTCTCACATGACCACGCGTATATAGCCTCTGACAGGGAAGTCCTACTCACTGCCTTCTCGTGGCGGGGGTGTTGTTCACGAAAATGAGAGGACGAAAAGCGAATGTCCGGCGCTTTAATCGGATTCCAAACCAATGGTGCACATGGGCTCCAGTATCCTGCAGGAACAAATGGCGTATGAACCAATTGTTGGTTACCGGCTTCCATGGGACTACATCTCCTCACGATGCTCCACTGCCTCGTGGATCAGACCTTCAGGTTGAAGGCTCGGGGAGTGGTCTCCTAAGAAAATCACCTGTTTCGATTTGGGCACCCGGGCAGTATCACAGCCCTCACACATATCAAATGGATTTGTGTGACGCATATGTATTTGGTGCCTCCTTGTACCAATATCTATGTGTTAAAATAAATAAATACATGAATTATCCAACTTATCTATTCAATTTAAATAATTATATTTAGCTATTAAGATCATCAATTGATCAATTGCGGAAGATTATATTATCCGTTCTGAGAGAGGAAATAAATAAGGTGACAATTAAGGAATTCAAAATAGTAATAAGATTCATCTTCGTTTAAAGAAAAAAAAACCAGATACAGATAATTTAGTTTGATAAGAACATATTAAACTGTCGAAAGCTTAATATTTAATGAAGGATAAGGAATAGAATAATTTATGTCACTAAGATGATTTTTTACGTGATTGGAGTCTTTATATTCACTTGCTATTGTTCAAATTGATGATGAGTTCACCTAGTCTGAGAACGGAACAAAGACTGTGATACAATGATCAATAAGATAGCTATTCTGACACGTCCTAATACCGTTAACTAGAGAGAGAAATGGGGAAATATATTTCATAAGCAGCCGGAAGCACGAGCAATAACAACAGACACAAATCAAATTTTATACATATATATATATAGCATAAAATTGCCCTTAGGAAGCGTTACAAAATAGCATACCAAAAGATGTCACGAACTAATAGTGTTTAAAATTCGCCAAAGTGGGAAATAGGACATGAAGGTGGAACTATGAGGGTTTTTGGATCGGAAATAAGAAATTCAAATTTTTAAAATAAAATTACAAAAATAAGGTATTTATCAAGTGATTTCTGAGGACCTAACATCCACATCATCACTGTAAATAATGGATTGAGATGTTATGTGATGCGGCTTATAATCGGTCATAAATGGGGCACATGCATTCACTTTTGGTCCATGTTTTAAGATGAATTTCATCTCTCTTGATGAGTTTTATTATAAAGTCAAAAGACGTTAAATGGGTATCGACTTTTCTGATTCTTAGGTTAAAATGGAAAAAAATGTACATAAGTTCGTCACTTAACATAAACCAGTATCATGTTTGTCTATAACAAGCTGAATTCTATTGATCTAGTCCTTACTTACTTACGCCTGTTACTCCCAATGCAGTTTAGGCCACCGACCACCATTCTACAACCAATTTTGTCATGAGCCTTCCTTTCCTGTTCTATCCAATTGTTGTTCGTTCATCTTCTCATCTGACTCCATTTCTCGGCGTAATCTGTTCGTTGGTCTTCTTCTTCACTTCCTTTTGCCTTGAGGACTACATGTGAGGGTTTGCCTTGTGACTCAGTAGGGTGCTTTCCTTAATATGTGTCCTATCCACTTCTAGCTCTTCTCCCTGATTTGTTCCTTCGCTGGGATCTGGTCTGTTCTCTGCCACAGTAGGTTGTCAGTGTCTAGTAGTGTCTGGCCAGCGGAATCGAAGTATTTTGCGTAGACAGCTGTTAATAAGCACTTGTATCTTCTGGATTATGACCTTCGTAGTTCTCCAGGTTTCCGCCACATACAGTAGAACTGTTTTGACATTTGTATTAAAAATCCTGACTTCGGTGTTGGCTGACAGTTGTTTAGAGTTTCGGATGTTCTTCAATTTTAGGTATGCTGCTGTTGCTATGCCGATCCGCGCCCTTGAATCTCCACCTGGAGCCCCTCTGGGGATACTGCCGGTCCCAAGCCAGGCTAAAGGAAGATGGTTGAGCGACCCCATCCTGTAGAAACGTAACTCGCTAAAAAGCGATAACCAGATCTAATCCTAGTGTGGTCATTAGCTCACGTGGGCCAACATTACATCAATTATGAGACTTTACTATCTGAATCTTATGAGGACAATCAGTTTCTCTGAGATTTAAAATAAAGCTTACTGATGAATACCAACTAGTATGAAATCTGGATCAGTTATGTTTTCCTGGATATTGTTTTTAACTGTTTAATACTAAGAAAACTAATTAACCCCAATTGAAAGAAATATATAATAAGTTCAGAAGATGTAATTTATCATTTGATTATTCATATGAAGATTGATAATGAGTCCATTGGTTAACTACATGAACTACATATTTCTTACAAATAAACATTGTATATATAAAATGAGTGTTTTATCATTTAACAGAATAAATAATTACTTACACGTGTTACTCCTCGTGGAGGAGCATACGCCGCCCACTAGCGTTCGCCATCCAACCCTGCCCTGGAAAATCCTTTGTAGCTCTTTCCAGTTGCTATTCATCCTTTTCATTTCTGCTTCTATTTCCCGATGTAACGTGTTCTTCTTTTCCGCTTCCGTTCAGGATTCCAAGTTGAGGCTCGCCTCGTGATGCAGTTTGATGATTTTAGTAATGTATGTCCTGTCCATTCCCATAATTTTTTCCTAATTTCCTCCTCAGTTGGAAGCTTGTTTGTTCTCTGCCACAGTAGACTGTTGCCGATGGAATGAATCGGAGATATTACATCCAATCATCACTTGTAAAAATATTCCAGAATCCCCGCATGTAGCTTTGCTGTTGGGCAAACGCTAATAACCCCCTGTATGCGGGTTGGAGGACTGTAATAATGATTTCATTTTTACTAGAAACTATAAATACCTGACAGTTTTGTACCATAATTGACACTGTTTTGGAATAGCATTCCTTTTACTTGTCTTCCGTCATCTCATTTGTGACTTGGGAGTGTTCTAGCGTTCGAGTGCTCAAGTTGTACGCAGTATATTAAGAAACGAAATTCTAGATATAACAACTGGCGACCGAGATGGGATTCGAACCCAGACGGGGAAACACTAATGGATTAACATTAACGATTTTATTGAAAAAAAGTAGACGAATATGCTTTATTATAAGCTAAGATGAATGATGACTAGCATTAGAATGCAGGATGCGCATTTTATTCTATTTGGGACTGGTCAACTAGATATATCTGTATCTTAGAGTTGATTTCCACTCAAGGACTCAAACCCAATACATGACTTAAGGCAATATTGAAGTCATCCGTACAGGATTCACATATACCATTACGAGACTGATTAATTGCAGTCCTAAAAATCAATGAGAAGATTCGAATAAACAATACATAAATGAATTAATAATCTTTTATATTTCTTCTATAAATAATTATTTCTTACCACTTTAAAGATAGGTATGTAAATTCTATTCAGTATTTAAAAATATTGGAAAATTTTCATTCACATATTTAAATAAAATGAATTATCAGTTTAGAGGTTGTGGAGATTGTTAAGTTTTTGATTGAGATCATGAACCGATTGATGAAAACCTGGAAGCATTGGACGGCAGGTTCGACCTCAGCAATGTGCATCCACGATCCCACTTGCGGGATTCGAACCCAGAGCTTTCAGTCTCGCGTGCTAACTCTTAACCTATTGGACCACTGATCTGGCATCCAATGAAGTTAATGTCTAACCTGAAGGCCCTGGGTTCGAATCCCGCGAGCGGGACCGTGGATGCGCACTGCTGAGGAGTCCCACAATAGGACGAAACGGCCGTCTAGTGCTTCCAGGTTTTCAATGGTGGTCTAACGTCAATCGGTTCATGATCTCAATGAAAGAATGAATTCTGTTGAAAGTTTTGTATTTTCTGCTGTTATTCAGTTTGGACAACGTTCTGACCATTGAATAGACTATTTATTGCTAAAATGTGATCATGAAATATATATATATATATATATATATATATATATATATATAATGCTTAACAGAGATCCGTCTTTATGACATAATTATTAGTATCTACTGTAAAATTCTCAATTTCACATAAAGTTGTAGTTGTGTCTAATCATAAGATTATCTCTCGATGCATATTTCTACATTACTACTAGTTTTGAGTGGTGATTCCCTAGGCCCCAATGAGAAACCGTGACTAATAGAATTTAACTATCTTTGGTATGAGGCATTTTTTTTTATCAAAAGTGCTGGAAGATGATTACTCAGTACTGCTGATGAATTGGATTTAGAAGTGTTAATCATTAAATCTTGACTCAGTGGTTGAAAGACTGAGAGCTCACCGCCATATCTCAAGGTCTTGAGTTACTTAATGTGAAACCGAAGAAACAGCTGTTTGTTGATTCTTGGATCTCGATAGCTATCTCTAACTAACATCAGACTGTTTTGGAAATTGTTAATATATACATATTTCTTTATAAAATATTAAGTAAATTATTACTTTCTTTTTTTCATCTTAATTTTTAGTTTTATTCAGTTTTGGAAGTTGAAGATGATTCAGCGTTTGTTCATGTGGATGCACCTAATGGTAAGTGATCAATGTTTCAATTGTATGTCTAGTTTTACATAATCATTGCAGTTATATATACTTCTTTTATATGCAAAAGTTAGTAGAGAAGATAATCTTGTTAGGTTTAAACAGATTCTATAAGCAAACTGGAAGTTGTTTGAGTGATTAAACTCAAATGTTCTTGCAGAATCAAATAGAAATATCTCATTACATCTATGTTGAAGGCAAGTTTTAAATAGACCAAGATCTGTAGCGCTGAATATATGGAATAAGAACTTCGTAGATAATGGTTTAAGACGAGGAAATCTTAAAATTACGATAACAATTAGTCGATTATCCAATGCCTGATTGTGAACTTTAAAAAAAAAAAGAGATTCCTTTGCTGAATTTTATGTGTTCTTTGTAATTTCATAAAGTGCTTGAAGTTGAATCTGTGAATTATTATATTCCTTTCTATTGGTTAAATGCGGGTCTATTCATCTCTGAATCATGTAAATCAATAATAATATGTTAGACATCTTTACAATTACGGTTTCGAACGTTATAGACATATAATGTGTTATGACTGGTCATCACTAATTGTAATGTTAGAATTGCTTATCACTTATACTTGTGAAATAAGAACCCACTCCAATTTCCATGTAAGAATATTTAAATTGGTACAAGTGAAGATATATCAACCCTGAAACATGACGACAACGCTATTCGAAAATTCACACTCATTTATATATTGATTGAACATTCACTTTGATTAATGATAAGGATGAAATTACATTTATGAAAAATACCCAGAGTTATAACACATCACATATTGCATATAATACTGAGCCTAGTTCATGTTAATTGAATACAAGAATATTGTATCTCAAATATACATCATACTCAAATAAATTAATATTATACCGAATAAAATATCACACTGAAAAACCAAAACAAATACTACAATGAATATCTTGATAGAGTTTTGTTCTCTGAGCTGGATGGTTTGGTCGTGAGGCTTTCATCGTTCTTCTGAACGACATAATCAGCACAAACTTCAAGTAGAAGTGAAGTGTGCGAATTTCTCCACATGTTGTTTACAGCTTGTTCTGTACACGTCGAGATGCTCATGATGTTGTTCAGAAGAACAATGAAAGCTCCAAGACCAAACCATTCAGGTCAGAGAACAAAACTCCATCAAAATCATCTACCTGAGCTACAAATCTTCTCCATCACTACACTGAATAATTATCAGCGTCCTGGATTCCACTGTTGCCACTATCCATCTTTGCTTATAATACTTGAGAATTAAGGCAATATCGAGATAATACACACAGTATATACATATGCCAATAAGAGACTGATCAATCGCAGTCCTAAACGTCAATGGGAAGATTCAAGTAAACAATACCAAATGAATTTATCTACAACTGTTCAACGGATTCTGTAATCTATCCTATGTGAAGTTAAATGACAAACATTATGATTCTATTCTGTACACATTAACACTGATTAAAACTTCAGGAATTCATTAGCTATAACTTAACAATCAGGATCAATTTATAAGCGCATCTAGACTCCATAAATTAGCATTTAAAATGATCGTTAATAAACTTCACTTTAAACAGTATTTCGATCATATTGTAAGATAATTGAACTGTTTTTTGAAGTGTTTCACTCAGTATCTCAACTGTTTGTTCAATCGTTTTATCAATAATCTATTTTCTCTGATAGCATCCTTACAAACATCTTTCTTAGGTCAGTTCCTATACTAATAATTTATTGTCCATTATGTAACTTCAACAGCGTTTTCAAAATTGTCGGTATCTAATATTTATATTTAACCAGTTTGTTGTTCTATTATCAGTTTCTATGTAAAACTAGTTTCATTCTAAATCTTCATTAAAGTTAGTCAATTTTTGATTTGTATCGCATCAATTAGCTTAGATAAAACCGAATGCTTTTAGTAGTTTTTAAAAATTATTGCTTTATCGCTAACCGTTATTTTTTTATGTTTTCCGCTATAAATTAATTTAGTATAAGAATCACTATGTCATTCGTTAACTGCCCATTTAATTCCACACATTTTACTCTCATATTTTACTAGAGAGTAGTGAAATTTTTCAAACGTGAGATTTTGTCATGTAGTCAGGGGTTAGGTGTTAGAATCCACGATTACCAACGATTGAGCGATCATATAACGATGAATTATTTTAAGTAACAGGATAATCTCAAACCGTTTCTTTTACAATGATGCTTATTCTCGTCTTAAAAGACTATTGCCGCTTGTATTAAACATGGCTACAGATTAGAAAAAAGTAAATATTCATGAGGAATTTCAGAAGACAACCACTATCGATTTATGTATATAACATTCAATGCACCCATGATACTTTTTCAATTGACATACTCCTCTTGAATCTTCATCAACTGAGATGGTTGGACCACGTGTTGCATATACCTTAACACCGATTACCACGACGCGCAATGCTAACTGGTGTTGGGGATGGTTAGAAGAAAGTTAGGGGCGGCCAAACCAAAACGTGGCATCAGAGCTTGAAGTCACTAACTTCTAGTCTGAGCCATGTTGGTAGATTCAGACAACTTGGTTGGGGTCCGCGTGACTATCGTAACCGATGGTTGGAGACTCTAGGTGACATGGCTTAGAATCGATCACAATGGCGTCGGTGTATACACTCTTTGTCTTCCTTTACATTATGAGATCAAAATCACTTCATATCTTTCTTTCTACGAATTAATGCTTTCTTCCTGTACTATATCCTTATATGCAGTCTTTCTTTTATATATTACCACCCTTGAATTAACTACTTATATGAATCCGGTGTTCATCTTGTTGTGCTAATGTCGTGTGGCAACTTGGACCGATGCATATATGTGCCTAGTTCTACGTTGTAACTGACTGACTCTTAGCTTTCTGGATTAAGAGTTAACAAGTAGGAATTATAAAAAATCTTCAGATTATTAATGCATAAAAATTCAAACAGCTCAGTAAATACAATGCAGTGCTTAAACTTGTCAGATTTCCATAGCATTAATTCCTTTGTGTGTGTGTGTGTGTATTATATGAATTTGTAGAATTTCTATAAATGAAATGATTATTTAAGTAATTTTTGTTAAATAATTTATGTAACTCATTTATAATGTTCAGAATGACATATTCGTCTTTGTAAAGTACGTTTTTTGTATCATAATCAGTATTAGTTACTTTCTGCATAAACTAAATTAGATTGTGAATAGGGTTTTTCACCTGTAACTAGTGAAAATCAGGTTATTTTTGAATAATACATCAAGGCTTCGTGAAAATACTGAGTACATGATTTTATAATTCTTATTCTATCATACATGACATTAATAAAATAATCAATTTATTTCCAACATGTTTGGCTAATTTTATTTCTTATTGGTACAAGCACTTTTTTAAGTGTTCAAGAAACCTTTATTCAGTTGAGCTTTTGTACTAGTTAGTACTCATCATCACCACTTACCTACTTATAATTTTGATGAAACTGATACCTTTTATAAAATTTGAACTTCAGTTGCCCACTAAGTCACCACTAAGCTATTTGAGTCATGACTAACGTAACACAGGATTGACATATATATACAATTCTTCGATGTCTAATTATTCAATGGTACAAATGTTATATCATGAAGGAACAAGTCATTACACAGGTCATAAGGGTATATATATATATATATATATATATATATATATATATAATTTTTATGCCTTGTTTGTAAAGAAAAAGATTTACTAATATCATTGTATTATTGTCCTTTAATAATTAGTAATAATGGATCACAGAATGATTTTAAAATGTATGGAAACACAGTTGATCTGTCAATCATCTGTAATAGTCTGAAATAAACTATTTTAGTGTTGATTCATTTTAACTTACTGTATCAATAGCTTGTTAAAAACATAATGACAACTTACAAGATAATAACAATAAACCCACAACTCGTCTTAATTTCATTAATTGACAAAAGATGTACGATTAATCTATTTGTTTTCTCTGTTATTTATGTAAATCCAGTACTCATTGTGTAATGAACGAGAACACAAATGGAGACATCCAAATGTATTTGAATACTAAATTACAGAATTCCTTCATAAAATCTGAGAACCATACAGTAAATAATTCATTTGCAAAATAACAACCAATTGTCTCAGACTTTGTTGTTCCTTTGGTTCCATACCAATCACTCTCTATTCTCGTTCTCTTCTCTTTTTTTTTCTCAACCTTCTGTCACCAGGCCTTCCACTTTTGATTGGCGATATATACTACTTATATCTGTTGATATCAATAGCATACACCATAGTTGAATTATTGTTGATAATTATATTGGTACATTAGTTTTGTAAATAAAACTACATTGTTTAAATTCATAGTTCAAGTGTTAACAATGACAAACGTACAAACATATCTAACACGTTTTTATTCTTAGTATAATCTTATTTATAGCCTTTTTACATTTATTATCAGTATATGGTTGTGGAGATTATTAAATTTTTGATTGAGATCATGAACCGATTGATGTTAGACCACCATTGAAAACCTGATAATACTGGACGTCCGTTTCGTCCTATTGTGGGACTCCTCAGCAGTCTCCACAGGTTCTCCATACTAATTATATATATAAGTTTATTCTTGTGTCTAAATTGCAGGCCAAAATGTTGCTTGAAGAGAACGACATGAAATAGCCTCTAGACTACTGACTCGGCATCCAACAGTGTCATTGTCTAACTTCGATCGATACATAATTCCGCTCAACTCTTCATCCATTGTCTAAGGTTAATAACTGTCTCCACTCGACACGGATTGGATTACACTGGTGTTATATCTTGTGACCGCCAATAAAAGGGCAGTGAATTATCGATCGAACCAAGGATGCGTAAAACACGTGCGAGCAGCCTAGAGTTCTAATTGGTCCTACTTTCCGCCTAGCCTAGCCAGTTAAGTCCAGAACACTAATCTCAGCCTCTGCAATATGAATCACGTATTTCAAACATACTG